AGACTGACAGAGTAAAAACTTAGAAAATACAGAACAGGAGTCAAAAGGCCTGTGTGAAGTCTTGGACCTGTTTCACTGGTCATTTATCAATTTGAGGGAAGTCCACTGACCCTGATTGCTCCTCAGCCACAAAAGCATGGTCATATGCACATTCAAACACTTCATTGATGGCTACTTAATACCCCTAGGCTTGTTTCACTTTCAAGATAGGACCCTGGGGCCTGGGGCTATAGCTCAGTGGCACAAGTGCTTGACTAACAAGTACAAGGTCCTGAGTTCAATTCCCAGTACCACCCCAACCCCTGCCAAATAACAGCAGCAGCAGCAACAACAACAAAAAGAGAAGGCCTTGTTGGCAGCTCTCAATATCAAGTCAGTCTGTGTGACTCCTGAAGGAGGGATTATTCTTAATAGCTACAGAGGCTCATGAGGAGATCGCAAGGGTAGAATATTCCAGCGATCCAGTTGACACTGGAAAGGACTAGGCACTTCCCAAAGCCCCTCTGCTGCCCATGGTCTGTGGCACACTTTTTGAAGCCCACTAGTCCAGAAGAATCTTATCAACTCAAAAGGCATCTCTACAGACAAATAACAACACAGGGAAAGTGAAGAAGCGCTAATGAAGAAAAGTGAAGACTCAGCCATGAAGACCCAGCGAGGCAATGAGTCCTGCTCATCGTCTCTGCACAGACACTGCCAGACACACGTGCTTTCAGACAGTAATAGTGATCCTTATGCTGATGCCACTTTGCAGAGTGCACAATCTGTGTTTGCAGGTACTTTCTCATAGCAATGTTATGGTTGGGCAATACTAGCTTTGCCACTTATAGATAAAAAACTGATAAAGCACCTGCAAGCAGATGCACAGGCTGGGGGTTCAATCCCTGGGCCTGCGGTGCTGGCCCTGCTGCTAGGGCACGCTGAGAGCAATTGAGACTGGGCGTGCTGGCACGTGCTCATAATCCCAGCACTTGGGAGGCTGTAAACAGGCGCATCACTGAGTCCGATCTAGTACGGAGACCCTGAACACCCTGTAGACCCTTCCCTAAAATACAGGGAAAGAAAAAACAAAACGAAAACAAAAACAAAAAACTGAAGCCCAGAAAAGTTGAATAACCTGCTTTAGTCTTCTACCTAGTAAGTATTGCCAGAAATGAACATTAGGTGTTTGGAGTCTAAAGCTAGTCCAGGTTCCATTGCAAGGGATAAATACAGAGTTATTAAAAGTACGTATGCTTCTTGTTCCTTCTTTTTAAGCCAACAGGGTCGAAAAACCTTTAAGGTCTATATGTGATTCAAGTCTTAAAATAGAATTACAACTTTCCATTTGTAAGATATAATAATTAACTGAATAGTACTGACAAGTAAGAAATTCAGGAAGACAGTTTTAAATGTCTTTATGTCAAATGTTGAATAAGAAAAGCAAGCACCTATATTCCTCCCATCAGACGGAGCACACAGAAGAATTTCTAGTACGGCCAGCACTGTGCAAGTCCTGCAGCCTCCGAGCCACACACTCGGGAGCACCAGACCTTCCGCTGTACCTTGGAGGTTCTGTCTGCTCTCTAGTGACCACGCGCAGGTCCTTCCTGGTGCTCTTGGCTCTTTTTAGTAAGAGCTGACTTGTCTTGTTTCAGTTCTTCTACGCCTCTCCTCACTTGGAATTCTCACTCTGGCCATCTCACAAGGCACTTACGGATATCAAAGAAAATCAGAAAACAAACAGCAATACTCATACACAAACACACATAGACAAGGAGGCTACATTACACACACGTGTGCACACATAGTAAGAGTTCCAAGCAGTGTCTTCTTGGTGCTTAATTTCATTATGACCCACTAGGCAGGAGAGACTAACACACAGGATGGAATTTTTACAGACTTGAGACTAAATCAGCAAAACAGGAGACTGAAAGTTATGAGACTGTAGGGTTGGTGTAGGTCTGGAGTCGTAAGATTTGGTTCTAGGTTTAAGTTTGGCCTTATGATTGACAGTAGAGTGTTTTACTGGGTTTGATTCTAAATCTCTCCATCGGGAAAAATGGGATAAAAATTGATACTCGGACTTCATTATTGTGTGAAATGTGTGCTTCAAACTACACAAAATATAAAAAGTAATATATTTTTTTAAGATCTTTTTTTTTGTGTGTGTGTGTGGGGGTCTCATTACACAGCTCAGACTCCTTAACTTTCTGCCTCCCTAGTGCTGGGATTACAGGCGTGTGCTACCATGCCCGCACTCCATCGCTGGATCAGCGTGCCTGGGAGTGGGGCCAGCACAGCATGTAGTGCCAGGGATTGAACCCTGGCCCCTGCTCTTACCTAAGCAAGCACTTAGTCCACAGAGCTATACTGCTTAGTGAGTAAAGGGTGAGAAGGATTTTTTTGGGGGGGAGTGGGCTGTCTCAGGCTGCCTTAAGGGCAGGTCTGGTAAGGCATGGGGAGCTGAGGATTGAACCACGCTCCCCTGAGCCAAAAAATTAATCATGTTTATTCCCAAAGCACTGATACAAATATAGCTTTTTTTTCTCTCATATTTATTCTCTCAGAATACAACAGTAAATAAAAACAAACTACACAAAAATAAAATATAAAATGAACTTCCTTATCTGAAGTTTATACTTTAAATCTACAGTCCTTTTTATGCAGAGGAAAGGTAACAGTCAAATTCTCAAGTAACCAGGGAGCAAGCTATATTAACAAAAGTCTTAACTGACCTTTGCCAAGTTTCACTGTCTACTATTGAGTGGTCAGCTTTCCAACAGAAGAAAAAGATGGACTGATATTGCCGCTTCTCTTCATTTATTTTTACCTGACCTGTAAAAACAATGCTTCTTTCAAGTACTTCAATAGAAATGTAAACAATGCAAACTAAGCCAGCACTTCCCGGAAATTCTTTCCTACAAGCAAGGGTCAGATTACCTAAGGGGTACTGGCCTGAAGCTGACTGGGGGGCGGGGAGGGCGGCTCCTGCTACCACGTGCCCTGTTCCTCTGCATTTGACTCTTACATCTCACGCAACATGCTAACCAATGAGCGAGCCTACGAAGGGGAGTTCTCCTGGAAGATGCAGAGCGGCATAGGAAGGTGCCCTTGGTAACTGTCAGCTATTTGTCATCTCCTGAGCCAATCATGTAATTATGGCAAGAAGGAAGGGATTAAAAACAGAACAAAGTCAATACTGTACAAATAAATGTTTCCCACTTTCTGAAAAGTCATGCTGTGCTAAGAGAACCCACGTTTCCCTGGGGAAACTCTCCTCCCTGATCTCGGTCCAGATCGCTCCGGCTGCCCTACCCCAGCCAGAGCCGGGCCATCCCATGGTGGGCCATCCCGTGGTGTGCCATCCCGTGGTGTGCATCCTCTGCAGTGAGGGCTACACTCTGTCTGAGGAGGTTCTGTCGTGGACTTTGCCAGGAGTTGCTTGGAATAATGGTGGTCTGGTGTCTGGCCGAGTGACACTGGAACATGCATGAGGACCAAGGAGGAATAAAGCCCAACAAAGCAGGAAATGGGACTGTGCTCAAATGACCCCGTATAACCATGCCTCAGCTGGCTGTGGTGGTGCATGGAATCCCAGTGTTCTGGGAGGCTGAGGCGGGAGAGTGACAAGTTTGCACTAAGCCTAGGCAACTTAAGTGACTTAGTAACTAAAGATGAGGATGTAGCTTAGTGTGAGAGTCGTGGGTTCAATTCCTGGAGCTGAGGAAAAAAAAACAAAAAAACAAAAAAACCCTTCACATAAACCACAGCTTTTCCAAGGCGGAGCCCCTGCTGCCGAGTATGTGGACCAATGTATTTTCTTTGGTATTAAAGTCAGTTTCTGTCAAATTACTTGTCAGCTCTAACCAGGATGCCTGATCCTGAGGTAGAATCATTGGAATTTCTCCTAACCAATTCAATGTTTGGGGACAATAAACTGATGAGTGGCATGAATAATGAGTAACCATGTAGCATCAGTTAATGCGAAGTCAGTCCCAGTGGTGAGGAAGTCATTCCCTGGTCAGTGACCTTGCGGTCTCTGACAAAAGGAAAAGAAGTCAAACATTCAATTTTCTGTTGTTTAAATCTCTGAGGTGTTACTCAGAGATTTAAACAACAGAAAAATCCTGAGAAATCAACTTCAGGAGGACCTCACGTGTCACTTTTCAGAGAGCCTAAGAATCACAGACACAACTATAGCTCCACTACCTGCGAAAGTTGTGCACATTCATACACCTCGTATGAATCCATCCAGCCTAAGTCCGCTATCAATCAGTGGCTTGAGGGAAGGAAAAGGTAAAAACAAACAACTGTTTCTACTAAGAAGAATGACTGGCCAGAGCAAAAGCTAGCCTAAGTGTATGTGATAGGGCTTGGGCAGGTGTTTCACGCAAAGATTGCTTGGAAAGCTTCCGCAGAAATAAAGGCAGGACATAAATGAGGGTCTGCAATCTGCTGTTATCAGGTGAAATAGTTCTGTAAAACACAACTTAAGTTACAGATTGGCTCCCGACATTAAAGTTTTAATTACACACATACATACAAAGAGAGAGAGGGAGAGAAGGAGGAAGGGAAATAAAGGGGGAGAGGGAGAGAAAGAGGGAGGGAGGGAGAGAGAGAGGCAGAGAGGGAGACAGGGAGGGGAGGAAAGGAGGGAGAGAGACAGAGACAGAGAAGGCATTAGAGATGATATCTAATAAAAATGCCATTCTAGGTCAGGCAATCACATGTACAATAGCTCAGAATTATTTTTTCTAAGTCACTGAAAAAAAAAAAGGAACAGAAACAACACAAAGTCTTTTTGACTGGTTGATCTCCACTTACAATTGCACCTTGTGCCTATAAATATTGCTCAGTGGAAAATCTCCAGGCAGTAAGGCACTCTGCTTATTCATCACGGATAGATTACATCAAAAATATTTTTGAAGAATTTTCCCACGAGGCTGGAAGGTTAACTGCACGAGTCAATGGCACATGGCGGGAGGGAATGTGCGAGGAACGCCCACACGAACATTTACCTTCCACTGCTCTTTTGAAGAAGACTTTGCAGCTGCCACAGGTCACCACCCCATAGTGACATCCTGAAGCCTCATCCCCACACACCAAACATATTTTGGAAGGTCTTGAGGATCCAGTAGAAACACTTCGTAAGGTAGAGCTGGGGAAAGAAATTAAGATTTAAATAACCACACTGGCATGGCACATTTAATATCTTGTTCAGATCAGCTGAAAATCAGTCAGTAATCACAGATCAAAAATGAATTTGGCATGTCCAGATCACACATTGTGTATGTCAGTAAACGAAGAGAAAGCCTTACCAATGGAGTAATACTATCAACAATGGTGTAGCAAAACCTCTTCTTACGTACTGAAAAAGGAAAATCACATGGTAACACTTCCTTTCCTATTCTTGTTTTTCAGACCCCCCCCAAAAATTCCAAAACAAAACAAAACAAAACAAAAAACATTTTGCACTCTTGGAGGGAGTTGAGAAAAATCTTGACCTAAACCATCGTGGTAGTATTTGCCATCCTCTGGCTGTAAATCAGAGCATTAGGACACCACTTGTCAATGCTCTTCACTCCGACTCAGACTGCAAGTCTCACTTATGTTGGATTTTTTAAAACTCCCCTTCTAACACAACCCACTAAGTAAAAGATTAAGTTCTTGGTTTGATCCAGCGACCCTTCCCCTCCATGCTTTGCATTTTTCCATGCTACCTTACATAGGTATGTTTGATGTGTGTTGTTTTGCTCACTAATTTGAAAAGACACTGACAATACTAAAACAACAAGTCGCATACAGTCAACGTCTCAGGCATCTTTCATGGTACATGGCCAGAAACTGGAAGGCTCTGGGAACTTCTTTTTATGGGCAAAGTAACTAACTGTGTAAGCAATAATCTAGACAAATTCTCCTTAAGGGAACTCTTCCCAAGATATGTTACACATTACTTTGCCAGTTTAAGGCAGGTTAGAAACAGAAGGCTGGAAATTCTAATGAAGAACCACATTTCATAGAAAGTTGAGTTATATACTGGGCAGATAAAGAATTTCTCTTATTTTTTTGTTCATATACTGATAGAATATTTACCTATATTTGCAAGGTATTGAGGAAATGAATGTAAAAACTCCAGCCCCTTTCCTCCAATCAGTGCGGACACAAACACGCATTCTGTAGGGCGGGGTACAATGGCACCACACCATGGGCCCCACCACCCACACTGGGAGGACCCAAGTGTGGGGGCCTGAAAACTTAAGACAGCCGAGCTGAGTTCTGAAGCATGATCAGGTGACAGCCAAAGCGGGAGGTGGTGTGGGGGTCAGAATGCAGCGTGGCTCAGAACACTGGAGACTGGGGACCTCCAGCAAGCTTTTGTCCAGCTCCGTGTGTCACTACTGTCCCCTCATGGTCTGTGCTCCTGTTACTAGGGAATGCTGTAGGCATATGTGGAAACGAAATGCAGGGAAAGGCAGCAGTGCCCCAAATCATTACTGCTGGCATCCACTCTTGTTTTTCAGATTAGTAAAATCATGTATTTACAGTGATTTTAAATGTTGGAACTATCCTCTCACCAAAAATAGCCGGAGGAACAAACTACTCAGCTGCTCCGAGTACTGTGCTGTGACTGCCCTACTAGAAAATGACTTCTTAAATCAAGAAATGAAACAACAATCTCCAAAGTTGTTTCTCCTCCTGAGAAAAGTGCTCTTTATTATTTTTATTAGTGTCTCTGGACTTCTTTATAGCATTCAAAACATTCCATTTCAGCACCAGTGACTTCTTCAGCATATTAGCCAGTAAAACTCAATCCACATTCGGGCTGACTCATGGTACACTTCAGAGAGGAGTCACAATTTTGTAAATATTTAGAATGTAATGCAAAATCGGCATTAACATGTAACTGCATTCTCATAATGACAAGTATATGTGCGGTTTTTACTCAACATTTTTGTGCACCTTGGCGTTGGTCCCTAAACTTAGCTTCTTAGCAAGAGCTCTTTGGCTGCTCAGCTTCAATCTTGGGAACTCTGGTCACTATTAATCCAAACCTACTTTTTGGGTGACCTCATCTACTATCTTGGCTTTAAAACCGTCAATATGCTAGAGCCTTCACAATGTTTACCTCCAATCCAGACACTTTCCTAGAACCAACACTGATATATACATAACTGCCCACCTACCACCCCCATTGGGGTGGTCCGACATATACTGTGGAGTCATTCTGTCTAAAACTATGATGATCTTTTTCTTCTCTCAGATCCTGGCCCACTCCCCTCCTCTTGTCTGTCTGTCTCTCTCAGTCTCTATCTCTATGTATCTCTTTGTCTCTCAGTATCTCTGTCTCTCCCTGTCCCTCCCTCCTCCTCTGTCTCTGACTCTATCCCTTTCTCTGTGTGTCTGCCTCTGTCCCTTCCTCCCTCCTTACCTCCCCATTCCTCTCTCTCTTCCTCCCTCCCTCCTCCCGCTCTTTCTCTCCTTTCTAGCCACCACCATGGGCCAGAAGGACCATGAACTGCAACCTCTGCAACTACTAGCCCAAATTAACCATTTCCTCCTTCAAGGCGATTTTCCCAGATAGGTAGCCACAGCTGATGGACACTAACTCAGCACCCAATAAACACCTGAGAAAATGAGGGAATCAGATAACCAGCATCTTCTCAAGAATTACTACAACCCCACCTTACCAATTCTGACATTTTTGCAGTTGTGTAAAGGAGTACAATTCATTTTTAAGCATCTGGAGAGTGACAAACATGTGGCTGAATAAAATTGAGAAGTCAAAAAGAAAATTGACATTAAAAAGATGCACTGGGGGCCGGAGAGATGGCTCAATAGAATAAGCGCTTGCCTGGCAAGCGCAAGGGCCTGAGTTCAACCCCCGGTGCCGCAAAAAAAAAAAAAAAAAAAAAAAAAAAAAAAATGCATTGTGAAGCCTCAGTTAGAATAATAAATCTGTTAACTTTCCAAATTGAAGGAAACATTAATTCTTCCCTTGTGTTTACCAAGCTCTTTCAGCAACAAAACCGCACGCTTGCCTCTATGTGCCTTTCAGTTTTCTACTGTTTTACAATGTCTCCTCCATTTCCCGGGCTCTTCTGCACCTCGGGGTTCTACCTTCAGCCATGTTTTTGTCACTCCTACCCTCTCTCCCTCAATGATGTCTTGCCCTATCTCAGTTTCTAATGGCTGTCTTGCAAATGACTTTCCAAATCTCTATAACTGCTCCTCTACCCTCCTCCCCTTCTTCCAATTTTATGTTACCTTCTCTTATACATAACTTTGATTCTCCACTCTCTCAACTTCTTAAATATACCATGTTCAAAACTGCATTTACTTTCTTCCAGATTTCAATGTTCTGGACATTTCAATCCTCCAGCGAGCATTAGTCTGCTAACTACCCAGACTCACCTCTGTACAATTGTCCTTGTATTGAAATGCATTCATCACCCAGCAGATCCCTGAGATCATGCACCGTACTACGCTAGGAACTACATACTACTATCTAGGTACTACACTTTCTCCCACACGCCCCACAGTGTTGCCACAGTTCACTGGAGTTAATCCACCATCTGATGTTTTATGTCCTTTGCACCACTACTCTGGTGTTTGGGGGCCACTACAAGGATTATCTGAACACAAGCACTGAGTTACTATGACAGTCAATCGCTGAGATGGCTACTGACAAATAGTTGGGTACTGTAGACAGTGTGGATACGTAGGACAAATGAGTGCACATAACCCAGGAAGCACAATCCTATTCTATTAGAACAGTACGCAATTTAAATCTCAGTGTTATTCTTGGAAATCTCCATTCAGTACTTTCAGATCACAGCTAATTGCAACCATGGCAAGCAAGAGTGCACGCAAGCAGATGCTCCTGTACTCTTCAGGTATTCAACTAATCAGTTGCCAAGTACTGTTTGCTTCAGCTTTGCCAATTCACATGACTTCTCTGCACCCTCCAAGACTGGTAATCTTGGTTCAAGAACTGGTACTTCATAAAGGTCCTCACATATCTCTGGCTTCTCTTCCCTGTAATTCTTTCTTTAGTGACTGACAAATTCCATGGTGACTATTGACTGTATTGCTTTCATGCTCAGAGAAGTAGTTGTCTATACCGAGTACCCTCTCCCTTCCTCTCAGTCACCTTCTCTGCCAAGGTCTTCCCCTAATGTCTGCCCTTACATCTAGCATGTGTCAACATTCCTGTCTAAGCATCTGGTCAACCACTTTTTACACAACTGGGCATTTTCTCTCCCCTCTCCCACTTATGGAGAAGGTGCCCATCTTTAAAGGCTCCATTGTCTTCCTAGCAAGCCTTTCTTCCTTCTCTTAAACTCCTCCGCATTTTGTGAGGCTGTCTTCCACAAACATCAATTCTGACCTTGCGTTAGTGACTTGTGTGCATACCCTAAACCCTTAAGGGCAAAAAGCATTATCCCTGTGCTTCCACCGCCATTAGCCACGTGCTGGTACTGCTTACTGAGTGAATGAAGATGCACTCATGGTCTCAATAGAGTAGAACACGAATTCACACAGGATGATTTTACAGAAGGTACATTAACGGGGTCAAGGTTATAAGTTCAATTGCCACACAGTTCATTGAGCTTTGCACAGAGGGGAAAAAAACCCAGGGACACAGACTACTCTCAAAAGCTCAGCCAGCTGTCTCACAAACATATGCACAGAAAAACAAAAGGCAGCTCCACAGTGTGAGTAGGTCTGGGAAACGCTAGTCTGCAATAAATGATACCTTGTCCTGTTCCTTGGAAACTGCAAGATGGCATGTGCTTGGGAGGTGATACACACACGGTTTCTATAAGGGAGGGAAGGAAGGTGTGGGCGGGCGGAGAGCACATCCAGTGGCCTGTATGTCACAATCTATCTCTCAAGGATCCTCAATTTGCTAAGCTTCTATATGGGCTCTGAGGCCCACGCTGTACTACCAACCATGCAGAGGTCAAAAGCAGGAAAACAGGCCTGGGTTCTAGCTCTAGCTCCTTCACGACTCATGAAACCTTAGCCAAATTCACTTTGCTGAGGCATAAAAGAGGCTGAAATGATGATGCGAAGACTCCAAGACAGCAAGTTAAGAAACAGCTGTGAGAGCTAAGTGGGACAGTCCATTGGGATCCAGTTTAATCCAAACTGAAT